AGACTCTACGCGTTCGGAGTTGTTTCGCATGCACACAACAAAGCATGCTGTTACTACACGAACATTAGCATTAATTTCCTTATTGCAATACCTGTGTCTCATATAGGATCAATTCATCCAAATAAAGAGGCTCTTACAAAAGAGAAATCAAGAGGCAATAACTCCATAGTATTCCACTAACACGTTAGAGCTGCTTCACAGGGTGTTGTGTGTTTGTGTAGAGGTGGTTGCAGGGGAGGGAGGCGCTAATGATTGCCCACGCCATGTAAACACGAAACGGCTCTCTGGCATACAGAGAAATGAGAGAGAAACAACGGGAGAAGGGAGACCAGCACAAAAAATGTAACGTTACATTGTAATAAACCGTCATTTTCTGTATTAAACGAATGTCCCTACCCTGGGAAAATGTATCGTGCGTACATGGAAATCGAAATTTACGAGTTCTGTAATTAGCGTTGAAACCTTGCGCGTCATAATAATAAATTTTGGTCACAAAGCTACATGTAAACATATGCATTTATACACATGGCTGTGTTTCTCGTACTACTAACCGAAAGGCCCTTAGCAAACTGGGCCTATGCAACGTTTCAGAGGGCCATGTTTATTTATTGGCTTCTAACAATAATATAGCCCGCATGGCATGTCATTGACACATCTACGTTCACTACACAAGCCCATATAATTCACATTTAGCCCTATACGTACAGACAGAATGCAATGTGCATTAATGTTAAAGCCATGTATGATTATCAAATTATATTATTACTGTCTGTGCTAGAGTGCTCGTATGTTTCGCTTACATAGTATCCACTGCCAGAAAGATTCACACCTCCCCCACCTACTCCACTCACTAACAGTAATCGTACACCAGCATGTGAACCATGGCCCACGCATTGAATATGAACATTAACGACTGCATTTTTGTTAATATACTGTGTTTTAAATGTTTTACGAAATCCAACATTTCCTGGTTCTAAGAAATAACTTTCCGATCACAGTGGCCGTGCGATTCAAGGCATAAACCGTCTTCGCCCACTTAAACAGAGGCATTGTGGGTTCGAATCCAACGCAAGGTATGGATGGCTGTGTGTAGGTAGCGGCCTTGCGGCTTTCTGATCCCCCGTTCAAGGAGCCCTACTGACTGTGTATAGGATTCAGACTCTGAAAAAGCGGCCAAGTTCCAAAGGGCAATAAGTTCCAGTATTTAAAATATTTAAAAATAAGGCCGGAATAGAGACATGGGGTTAATATAGCGAAACAAACTCAGTTTCCCCTTTACGGCATATATCACTTTTAAGCCCTAGTATGAAAACTGACTGCCGGATTCCTGCGTCGGTACACCATATGCCTCTCGTACAAGAAATCTAATGGCCTCACACCAAAGAGCAGAATGCCAAAGTATGAGAAATATGAAATCATTGACTTTTTGGGCATTATTCGTCGTCCTATTTTTAATAAAAAACGTTTCGAAAAAATGGATTCCACCTCCCCTCTCATGTAAAAAGCCTACTCGTTGGAGCTAGCCCCTACATCCGGATACCAAATGAATAAAAAGCAGCAATTACAAACCAAACACAGCATAAACCACCTGCGGGAGTTAAGACTAAATGATGGGAATTCAGATGGAAGAAAAATCAATATTAGCCCAACACGCATAGGAAGAAGGCCTTAAATTAAGCTGAAACGAAGAGAATGTTTTGCAGATTGAACCTAACATCGGCCATCTATTTATCTGTCTGTCTGTCTATCTATCTATCTGTACATCTCTATCTATCTGTCTGTCTGCCTGTCTATCTATCTACAGCTCTACAGCCCTTTGTTGGACCTCGGCCGCTTTTTCATTTTCTTAATCCTATATACAGTCGGTAGGACTCTTTGGACTGGGGATCAGCCCGTCACAAGTCCCGACACCTACACACAGGCATCCATGTGTCGAGTGGGATTCGAACCCACGAACCCAGTGTTCGAGTGGGCGAATACGGTTCACGCCTTACAGCGCGCGGCCACTGCGATCGGCACCTAACATCACGCACAAGAACTAAAAGAGAAATATCAGCCCTCATGGCTCTAGGAGCTCATCCGATCAGTCAACAGCTTGGAGTGTCTCGCATCTGCAATTCCATCACTGAAGGAGTTAGAAAATTACAGCTCTGCCCGGCTCAGATACTGTGGTAATCTTATCTGTTTATGTTAGTAGGATACGGAAGTCTCGTTTATGTAATACCTATCGGTAATATTCTGTGTGCTGTTGGGTCCTCAGTGGCGTTCAGGATTTTTTCCTATTTGAAGTTCAATCCTTTCTGTTTCTTTGGTCTATACTTATATTTATTCTTGTGTTATCTGTGAGACTGAATGCCCCATCATTGATTTTACAGTATCTAGAGTTGTACTTTACTGTATAGGCTATGGCCGTTACATTATGCATGGTCACAGAGACGATGTGTGGTGCACGTGGCGTTTTAAATTTGCGTCTTAAATCCTGCAGGCGCTTTATCGTGTGTTTGGCTTATAATTCCTTGTGTAGGCACTGGCGTTCGCAGATAGACTACAGCCAAACTAAATAAGTTTTACCCTGAAGATGGAGGCAGAACGCAATCACCAGAACGTTGCTATTAATAAAAATAAGACGGTCGATAATGTCCAAAAGCCAATCACTCTATTAATACAAAACTTTTTATCTTGCTTACGAAAATTATAGATACAATAGGTCAAGAGTTAAGCTAAAGTCATTTTTAAATAAAGTATGCAGTATGATCTGTTTCTGGAAACATTTCGACAGGTTAGTCGTGCTCTGAAATGAACAGAATACAGTATAATTTAGAATATAAGCCTGAATATTAATCCATGGATTTGATTAGTGGCTTAGCTGGTAAGAAATTCAACGCCTTTAATGGGGACCAAAATATTCATTACCTTGTTCACAAGGACGTGTCACTGCTCAGTATTCTCAGACATGAACTCAGCCCTCATCCTCATACATTACCCTCCGATCCATGCATACGTCTTCCAAATGGTCTCTTCCATTCAGGATTTTCGACCGAAAGATTGGACTCATTTCCCGTCTCTCGCAAACTTTCATCGTGCCCCGTATTTCCCAGCATTCTTAGTTGAACATCATAATGATATTTGGCCAGGTCAGAGCAGCTGCGCGGTCTAAGGCATGAATTGTCTTCACTAGCTAGGACGCTTATATCGTGGGTTCGAATCCCACTCAAGCCATTGATGTTTAGTGTATGGGTTTATTCTGTGTTTGTGATGTCCCGTGTTCGGATAGCGGCCTTGCGACGAGCAGATCTCGCGTCCAACCGTCTGTGAAAAATGATTACGGAAATGAATAAGAGGCCTGGGTCCTACATGGGCTGCCAGAGCCGTTGTAAAAAGATACATCTGGACAACAGCACTGATTACGAAGTTAATTAGTATGCAGTTTTCTTAAACTACCTCCTATTTCCTTCACGTTAGCTTCGATTATTCGCCTCAACACTCCGCTCTGAAATAGTTTCAATGTGTAATCTTTCCTTAACGTGATGGACCTGGTTAAGCAACATCCTAATTTATAGTTCTGCAATATTATAATCTCAGATCTCATGCTTGATGACTTCATCGTCTGAATTGCCACCAAAAGAAGACAGTTCCTTAGACAAAGCAAAGCTTCATACACAGTCCTATGAAGCAAAGACTGTACTAACTTACGTCTTAGATTACCTAGAACGAAAGGGAGACAACCGCTTAACACTCAAGGAGACGGTGTTTAGGCCGGCGGCCGTTTCACATCAGCCTTATAGTCTTCTCTTTAGAGGCTGACTTTCAACTGACAATTGAACTGGTCAACTTAATTGTCTTCAAGATAACTCCTCACCTCGAACCACATCGAAAATACCGTTCTAATGTTGCCGTTGCTTAGAAACGGGTTGCAGAACTACGCTGTTCTATTGTTGCGTGCATGATGCGGGCGTTACATAGCAACGCCCTCTCTTTACAAAGTCGCCGCTTAGCAACGGGTCTACACGCCACAATACTATTACTACTGCATCCTCAACAGACAAGGCAACCATCTGAGGAGCATCCACGCAGGCATGAGCTAACAACTAAGAGCCTACTGCAAACGTAATGACAAGTAAGTTCTCCTATGTACTACCTAAGCACTGCGTACTATCCAATTCCACTGACTTGCTTCTTATGATATTTTCTTGAAAGAATTCCAACCACCATAACCTTGACCCTGGAATTTCAACTGGTTTGGCTGTGGCGCGAGAAATCATCTACTTAATAAGAAATCCGCTCTGGATTTCATCTATGCTCAATGCGATCCCCGCTCTAACGCACTGTGTCGAACTAACCAGAAAATAGTACAGGAAAGGCGTGCCCGTGTAAAGATATAAGCCAGTATATAATTAATTCTAATGAAACTTTTACAGCAATAAATTCGAAATTAGACTAAATTTAAAATTTCCTCTACCTTAATAATTTAAAATTATTTTCTCGTATTGCTGACCTAGTTCAAAACTGACATAAATTATCTTGTGAATAACTTCAAATACTGAAGGAACCTATTTACCGTATATATATATATATATGGTAAATAAAACAAGTTATAATAATTCTTTTAAAGATCTTGTTTACAAACTCCTTTATTTTGATGCTAAAGTATTTATCAAATAATTCAGGCTAGTCTCAATTGAAGTGCCCATCAGAGAACTGCTCTACAAACATAAGAACACAAAATAACATCTAAACCAATTCAGACGAATGAATTTAAATTTATCTCACTTCTGAACTAGGGCAGTTGAGCAGAAATAGGAAATATCAAGTGTTGAGGCAGAAACCCTACAAATTTTAGTAATGTATGAGAAGATTTCATTCGATTATAGAGAAAGCATGTGATGAGGTGATTAGAAATTAAATAACACATTGCCTATATTGGAAACAATGGCTTGACACATCTGCAATTCATGTGTAAGAATTCGGAAATCAAAATAAATAATGCTACAGGTTCTGACCTGTTGCGAGGGAGTTCCAATAATACTGCTCGTGAGATATCAAGTGCCGGCTGTTTCCGTACACTGAAATTAGACACAATAAATTTCACTCTAACATTCCGAATATTTGCATTTTATCTTCCTCCTACACTATGATTACTAGATTCAAATTAATCACTACTAATACATCACTTATTAATCCTTATGCTTCGAAACTCATTCATGGACTGGGCTTGGCATTTTGTTTAGAAGAGGTAACGTGTTTATGCATTTTACTGCCATATTCATACAGGTTTATTTCGCTGGAACAATTTCGTGCAAACAAATGTTTTCCTCTTCCTCCATTTGGGGCATTTGGTTCCCTCCACGTCAGCAATATTTCGGATAGGCACCCTTCACGTCAGAGACATAACTTCTTCGTTTCGCTTCCAGTAACAAAAAGGGCGCCAGAAAATTTTTCTGAAACAGGAGGATGATTTTTCTGTAATCTGTGCGACCACACAGAGTCGAATTATTTTGGAATACAGTGAATGCTGAATTAGAAAGAATGTGGAAGGAAGTTGTCATGGCCTAATTTAAGGTATTATTCTGTCTCTGACTGGAGGGAGCTATGAAAACAGCAAAAATAAAACGTAATGCAAACCAAGATAATGGATGTCCTCAATAAGAATCGAACCAGGCACCCGCCCGAATGAAAGTGAGAAATATTAACGCCTGAGCCACCTTTCTCGGTATGGGAAGATGTTCGAATTATATGACATTGATGAAGGTGAAAGATGAATAAGTAAAGATGGAGGAACAAATATTTGTTAAATTTTACTGTGCCTATTATGCCTGTATTTGGTTTAGTCTCGTCTAGACTGCAGAAAAGGACGAAACCTCCTCCATTAGAAGAGCCAGGTCGATTGTGATGTACAGAATAATGTGGTTCACACGTACGCACTAACGCCGTATACATCTGCTGCTCTCTGTTGAGAGGAGGAAGACATGATAAGTTCAGTGGGGTCTGCAAGACACACAGCACGCATTCTAAGCACTCAGCCCTGCCAATGGGTGAAATTTCGCAGGGCGGCACAAGGCCGAACAGAATCTTTGAATAACTGCTACAAGACCGTCTCATCTGTTCAGACCAAGCAGCGGAAAACAGTCATGATGTTTCTATTGTGACTAAACACAGAATATTTTCTGTTTTTAATTCTGAAAACTTTTGTTCTCCACGTTCAGAGACTGAATATGGAGTTTGTGATTTTTCAGACTTCAATTGGTATCAAAAGGGCTGAGACGAAGACCAGTAAAGGCTCAGAACTCCCGTTCCTGAAGTAAAGCGGATAGCTTCGGGCTCAGCCCTTCACGGAGGTAGCAATGTGATGCAGACCAACAGATAGCTATACAAAAACAGGGTTCGATTTGGAGAATTCCTAATGGAAAATATTAGCCTAGCTAATTCGAAATGTGGCTGCCCATAGCAGGTGCTCAAAAGACCGATCAATGTTTACGACACGTGGGAATGGTCGTTTACATCAACACTTCTGTAGATATACGGAAGCAGATATCACGAACACCATGTCATCAGGGTGTACGGGAGGCGTGGCTACAAACAAGAGACCTTTACTGAGTCTGCTTTACCGTGTCTCACGGTGTTGTCGCTTGCAGATTTACCTATACTTTTTCTTCAACCCTGAAGATGGGGGCGATACGTTCCTCCGAAACGTCGGTTAACACCACATATACACGGCGCCAAATCCCAGAAGACTGCTTTCTTCATAGTCACCGCCGTGAAAGCCTCAAATCTTACAAGAGACCTTTACTAGTCAGACGCTGATCTCGCTCCCGAAGTTGGTAGGAAAATTGCGCTAGACACAGTCAGACACAGTTCCGACCGCCCAGTAATATCTGAGTTCATATCTATGTACCAATACAAGTATGAAATCAATAGGAAAATACACAGTTTTCCAAATCCAGGAAGAAATAACAATGACACGTACTCAATACTCCTTCAAAAAGTAAAGTTATAGTTATCCCTGGGCTAAACAAATTAAGCATTAGGACATGAAGCTGTGTGGGGGTGCGAGGCATAGATCCACGATTCTTGACCACTGCAGTAAATGGAAATGAGTGGTCAGTTACATATGCCGTTTTACCCCCGAGGAAACAACCCCAGGTTTCCGCTGAACAGGAGGCTGGACGGGTTCCAGAGTCAGTCTGGACGCTATGAAAAGGATTCCTCGGTCATCCCCTTAGCAACCTAATTGGTATACCGACTGAGCTATCGCGGCTCCCACTCCTTCAAACCCCCGTTTCAAATTCTAATACTCAGAAATGAAACAAAAGCATGGTGTCCACGAGTTGTATGAAGCCCTGTCCATGAATAGTGGCTCTGTGCAACATTGATGTCTTACCTGGATCGCTGTTGTCGACGCTTTGTTGGGAACTGGGTTGCTGCGAGAGGGGGCCCGGTGTGCCACCAGACCCCGGGGATCTGACATCGTCGTTACCGGGACCAGGGTATGACAGTGACGAAGAAGGAGGCCTCTGAAATAAAAGGAAAAAACACTGTTAATTCACGAACACCAGTCGCATACTGTACATCACTTCAACAAGTTCAAAGCAGAAGTACGCAATTACAGTGACGAACAAGAACTGCAACATGTTCAGAGCAGAAGTACGCAATTACAGTGACGAACAAGAACTGCAAAAAGTTCAGAGCAGAAGTACGCAATTACAGTGACGAACAAGAAGTGCAACAAGTTCAGAGCAGAAGTACGCAATTACAGTGACGAACAAGAACTGCAACAAGTTCAGAGCAGAAGTACGCAATCACAGTGACGAACAAGAACTGCAACAAGAGAAGACATGAAGAGCAACAGATAAATCTTTATACATGTGGCAATGGAATCCCACTCTTAACACATTTATCGGCCTAGTTTCTATCAGCAAGTAAAACAGTATCACTTTCTGTAAGAAATTCTTCATCTGCTACTGAAATACTCTTATGAGTGGACCTGGGATAATAATATATGTGAAATAAAATTTTCACGTGTTAAAATTAATTACGAGAGAATGAGATTCTTTCGGACAAGGTCATGACTCCACTCAGCACTCGCCGGATGATTTGTTTGTAGCATAATCACTTAGCGTCTGTTCTATACATAAACATATAAGTGAAGACAGGTTCCCGATCAACAAGTAAGTCATAAATCGCTTCAAGAACAATATGGTGCTGATGATTACTCATATCACATGACAATGATGATGACTTCAACCACACATAACTAAATAACAAACAAACGAACTGGCTAACTAACAAACTAACTCCATGGGGACGAATTTAGCAGCTACTCAAGAACTTCCCAAAATTTTATGAAACCAAGAGGTTCATTTCCGTGTTCACAAGAGCCTTCCACTGGTCCTTATCCTGAGCCAGATCAATCCAAACCATACCATCCCATTCTATCTCTCTAAGATCCATTTTAATATTGTCCACCTACCTACGCCTTCGTCTTCCCTGTAGTCTCTTTATTTCTGGCTTTCCCATTAATATCCTATATGTATTCTTCGTCTCCCCCATTCGTCCTACATGCCCTTCCCACCTCATCCTCCTTGACTTGATCACTCTAATTATACTTGGAGAAGAGTACAAGTTATGAAGCTTCTCATTATGCAGTTTTCTCCAACCCCCTGTCACTTCATCTCCCTTGGGTCCAAATATTCTCCTCAACACCCTGTCTATGTTCCTCCCTTAATGACAGAGACCAAGTTTCACACCCATACAGTACCACAGGTAAATTTATAGTTCTGTTATTCTAACTTTTATGTTTATAGGCAGCAGACGAGAAGACAAAAGGTTCTGGACTGAATGGTAGCAAGCATCCAATCTCCTCTTAATTTACACCTGAATGAAATTTGGTTTTGTTATCGTCGTTCCCAAATACCTGAACTGTGCCACATTTGCAAAGGATGTTACCTACCTATATGTCATGAATTTCCCTAGCATTTTGGTGACGAGAGAGTAATATACTTAGTTTTCTTTTTGTGTTTACTTCTAGACCAACTTCTATTCATATGATACTCAAAGACGATGATCTTAAAAACTGTGCTTTCTGCGGCAAGGGTCTAGTCTCGTTATCGCGTTTTCTGCTGGAAATATCTTTTTAATCCCCTGAGTCATATGCAGCATTTTTTTCAGTAGTTGTATTCCCCAAACCAGAGAAGCCCCCACATAATCATCTTTCCAAAGCGTCGCAGGCACAGAACAAGGCATGTTTTCTCCCGGATCCGCCCGCCAACCAACTCTCCTGGGACATGCGTGAACATGACACTTTACTTTTCACTGGGTTGAAGTCTACACATGCACGACTTCCATTGGGTCTTCGCTAACACTCAACTTTTTTTTTTACTCACACGGGGGAAATATGAATGAAAATGGATGTAAGGGGACTTCAATGCCAGTAGAAATATGACACATTAATATAAATAAAAAATCTGGAAGAAGAAAATTGTGATGCTCTTATTCTTACGGCATCGAGAGACGATCCCTGTTATACAAATGGTAGGATCTACCCCTAATTTCACGAACATGAAATTACAAGCTTCTCTTCAGAAGTCTGCATAACCTCATGGATACCTAGCTCCACTGTTGTCTCTTAACCGGGCAAATTCCGGCCTTGTGTTGTGCTGTGTGGGCGGAAGCCTAGCGGAGGGCCGATCCTCTATCCAGAGAGTCCTACCGAATACCTAAATGAGCGCTATTTGTAAATGAATTCTGAATCGAAATAGACCAAACGAACATACGGTGTTAGCTGAAGAAGTTGGACTGGTGTAGTCCATAATATGGGACTCAATCAAATAAAATGGGACCCTTAATTTTGAACCATAATTTTTTGTGGGGTTCCGTGGGAAGAATTAATTTTGTACTTCGTGTTAACTTCCTTCAATGTAACATATTTGAATGGCATGATCAGTAGAGAGCATCAAGATTGTACATAAATTTCATACTTTTTTTCAATTTAGGGCTACATGATGTATAGTCTTCAAGAAACATATATATATATATATATGTAAAGTAAATGGAAAATTTTAAAAAGAAAGTTGTATCACATAAAAAACTTACTTTTACCTAGTACTTTGCAGCAATATAAGAAGTTTTTAACACAAACTGTAATAGAAAATGCAATTTTATGGAATAGTCTAAATTATGAAATGCAAAATATATTTCCTTTAGCTACAAGTTCGTACAATGGACTGAAACACGCTTCCTTCTTCCCGTTATGGGTTACAGAAACATGTGCCTCTACCCGTCTCAAAAGAAAAAATCCGTCTCGGTAATCATTCTCCGACGTTTCATACTTTACGTCTAAGCTATCACTGGGTAGACAGTAGCCAGTATTTTGTTTCTGAGATCTGAGAGTGTTATGGTAATGAAGATTCAGATTGTGATAACATATAATACCGTGTAGTCTGGTAGGTGAATACCGATCTAAATTCTTAATTACCAGTCTACAAGGTGTCACAACACAAAAGACAGATATTTACATATTTCTTTAATTTTATTCAATTTAGTATATCCTTTTTCGAGTAAATTCAGCAAGAAACTCCAAACACGTAAGATAACCAGGGAGTTGAACAGCCACCGCGCATGTTCCAAGCATCCAGTGATTTCTTTTTATTGCTAGTGGGGTGGGACCATGTCCCTTGAACTGCGGCCACTTCTGGCCCATTGTACCAGCCCCAGATGATAGGTGAGGGTGATTGTGGAGCAGTTGGTGGAATGAAGATTGGTAGGGGAAACCGAAGTACTCGGAGAAAACCTGCCCCAGCGCCAAATTGTCCACAACAAATCCCACCTGACCAGACCCGGGATCGAACCCGGGACGCCGCGGTGGGAACCCAGCTACTAACCGTTTGAGCTACGGCGAGGCCAGCATCCAGTGATAGTGATGCATATCTCTAGAAGAAAGAACTGTGGACCATCGCTCTGCCCAACTCATAACGAAGGGTAATAACGCAACCAGACAGATGTAAATTACTTTAATTAAACCGTAAAGTGTGAGACGTGGCAACACCACAGATAAAACGTTGCCACATCGTACAGCATGAGTTTCACAATGGCAGCTGGCAGAAAGCGTACTCTGGCTAATCAGAGATCGTTAATTATTGGCGTGTAGGTACCGAAAAGCTAGAGGGCTGAGGGGCGGGGTATATTCACTGCACACAGACTATAACCGGATCACAATGCATGAGACTGAAATAATTTTGCCACGTCATTTAGCAGGCTTCTATTTCAGCTACATACTGTGTACGATTTCAATCAGTTTCGTACGGGTTCCTCGCAATTTGACGTATATAAAAATTTCATTTTTTTTTTCGATTTAAATGTTATGGTGTTTATTTTTCTATCAAACCCCTCATCTTTTTCCCCTCACTTTTTAACAGTGACAATTTTGATTACAGAAGTTTCACACTTCGATTAATAGATCATACAATGGAGGCCAACGTATTCTGATCGTGGTAATTGCTCCAAATACTACAGTCATCCTCGAATTGGCTTACCGAAGTCGCGGTGCAGTATTTCTCAAGCTTCAGTTACACGATTCATTACAGCGATTATAGATCGCAAATATCGAGCAAAGGGTTCGAGAGATCACACACATGTGACGCACCCGGATACAGTGTTGCCACGCGCAACCGTCTTTCTGACGTTTCTAGCTGATTTAACTTCCAAGATGCGATACTTCCTCAAAATCGGCCACGATTTTCTGCTTAGGAGCTTTAATTTACTACGATTATATTTTTAAGTAAACCCCTAAGATGATTCAGTGTTGTTGATCAGCCTAAGAATTTACATATTGGTATATAGGATACAAATGGAACAATATGAGATAAGTAAAAGTAAAGCTATCCCCGTAACAGGCCGTGAAGGCCAAGAGGGTTGTGAGACGTTGAGGCTCCCACATTTTCTAGACAATCGGCCTTACGCGCCGGCCGCCCTTTACTGCCGAGGAAAATTATTTATTTAATTCCTGGTACTCATTTCAGTTAGAGGGTGAGTCAACTCCAGGGCCATAGTGCGGCTGGAAGGATTAAGTCAATTAAAAAAAAATTCAATGACCTCATCGGTATTAGAACCCGCGACATCCCAGTTTATAGCACAGCCCCTCAACCAACTACGCTACCGGAGGTGAGGTTAATTGTCTGAATGGCTTAGGACATTCCTTCGGCGGTCAATATTGGTCTCTTCTACAATGTTTTTTTTTCTTTTGGTACTACAGCCTCAATTTTGGCCTTGGCCTACCTTTACGAAACTCTCCATTTCACTTCGGTTTAATATGTCTTAGATATTCGGTAGGACTCCTTGTACGGGTGATCAGCTCATCGCAAGGCCTCTACCTGTACACAAACATAGAAAAACGCATACACACGTACAAACACGAAACATCCATGCCCAGTGTGGGATTCGAACCCACAATCCCGGTTTCCGAGCGAGCGAAGATAGTGCATGCCTCAGATCGCTCGGCTACGGTGACCGGCCTCTT